CCCCCAGTAGACCACACACACACACGCAATGTGCAATTAACCACTGCAATAACCACAGTACAATTTAAAAATTTTGCTATTTGCCCATGTACAACTGCTGCTATATATACTACCTGATGTTGTGTGTTTCTGTTTGCTTGTTTGTTTGTCCTCTCTTTGGAGTTAAATCTTGTGCTACTGCTGTAACATGTGAATTTCCCCACTGAGGGACAATAAAGGAAATCTAAAAAAATAACATCTCTGATACACATAGAGCTGTCCACACCTGGGGATACAGTGTGGAACAGTTACTGAACTCTTTATCTCACTTTACCTGCATCTCCACCTGTGTTTTGACCAATTTACGCTAGCACAAGCATGCGGTTGTGCGACAGTGCAAGCAAGCGTGTGGCAAAAAAAACGCTGCATACACCAAGTTAGAGATCTCTCATGGTATTATGAGAAACGTAAGAATGCTTTTGGTTCATTATGAAGTGGGGTGGGCTGCCACAGTCTAGATAATCAATTGGAAATACTGGGGAGTGTCCTAAACTACTAAAGCGGGACTGAATATTCTAAGTCATGTTGGCTATCATTCTGATTTAATGAAGCTGTTTTAGCAGGTTGACCTGAGGCTGTTTGTTAAGCAGCAAACACAGGACGATACACAGCACAGGGTTGGAAATGATTGCTTTAGTCAAGACCTCTGTTAATCATCATAACTCTTACTGACAGAGTTAAAAGGGAGCTGTACTGATAATACAGTATTGACCACACCATCCGAACAGTTAATGTCCACCACTAACATCCTTAATCAGCTATTACATGTCAGCCCAAAATCACTCAGCACTGCTGAAAGGTAATATTGATCCAGGTGCTTTTTATTCTCTTGAAAATAAATAAATAAATGAAGCTGTCTAACGCATGCTGTCTATCCATCACAATTATATGTTGCGCTTGACCACTTCAACCCTTAATTAGCCATTGTGAGAAAGAGGAGGAAATAGCTCAGACCGCCATCAAGTCAAATCATTTCTGCTTACCACAACAACACAACGACAGGACGCATCGACCCATCCTCCACTCAGGCTGGGAGGTGGGGATCATCCAGTATGTATGTATGTCAGTGTGCCATTCAGTGCAGCAATCAGCATGACGCCTCGTAACAACTAGGTTCTTTGATGCTTATATGCTCTACCTGAATGAGATGTGTGGGCTTTTGAAACTTCATTGTTAATCAAACATCATGATTGTGTTTTAACAAGATAAACAAGGCACTATGACATCATGTCGGTTACTGAGAGGCCTCCAGCACACCACTGAGTAGCAGATGAGAATGAAAATTGAAACCTCTAATGGTTAAAGTGTGGCTGTCTCTGTCCTCAGTATAGCCTGACAGATTCAGCATTTTTTTGTATTTTATATTTCTTGTGCAGTTCCTGTTCTAAACCTGCCTGTTGTAATGAGCTGTTTACTTGTCCTGTGCAAATGTTGGTTGCAGTTTTCTCTCTGAAACTGTAAAAGTGACCTTCAGCGACTAAGCTGCGACAAGTAAAGACCTGCTGCTCTGCATTTGATTGTTCACGTTAACCTGCCTAGTAACATTTGGTACAAATTTTTTTATGTGCTTATTTTAACTTTAAAAAAAAAAAATTCTAAATCACAGCATGCATCTTTTGCCACATTATAGTCTATCGATAAACAAAATTCTTTGCAAATATATATACGCCAATGCTAATGTACCCGTCATCAACGTACCAATATATCAGCCAGGCTGTCATTATCAGTTATCATTGCTCCATCAATGCTTCACTTCTATATTCCCTCATTACTTCTTTAATTTTCTTTCTTTTCTTTACTTTCATCTTCATCTCAACTTTGAGGTGTTAAAGAAGAAAGAAAGGAACACAGAGAGATGTTTAAGGGAATTAAGAGAATGCTCCGGTATTTATCTATGTATCATCCTCCATTTACCCTTGTAGTGTCTCGTGCCTTCTGCTTCTTTTTTTTTTTTTTAAAGATAATTGAGGGCATTTATATATAAAAACATAACATTAAAACAGTAACTGTGGCTTATGATCCACAATGTTATGCTTTAAATATGTTTTTCTTTCAAGAATAATTTCAATTGATTTCTCTGTTAGATATATTTACAGTTGCTCATGTTAGTATTTCTTTTTACAAATTTAAATGACTGGAGACAAACAAATCAAGACCTAATATTGTGTGAAATAACAGATTTTTTGTGGGTCGTTTCCAGAACACAAGAATAGCCCTCGACCACCTGGAGTCAATTCCTGAAAAACAATGTCTGATGGACAACTTCAAAGATTTAGAGGTGGGTTCACTGGTAACATCTATTATTGATTTTCTATGCTTTTACATCAATTCTATTTTTTTTACGTTCAAATCACCAACCTCAGGTAGAATAAAACATGAAATCAGTGAGAGATCTAATAAACATGATGAAGAAAACCAGAGGAACAGACTTTAAATGCATTCTCTGCCACATATTCCTGTAATTTGTGTATTGCTCAGTTATGATGACACAGTCTCCATTTGTGCCTTCAGGAGTCACAGCGGCAGAGGGAGATGGTCGATCAGCGTTACACCAAATACAAAGAGATCGTCTGGGACCTGCAGCACCAGCTGGACGAGTCCAAACGCGAATTCCAAGAGTACAGAGTATGACACTAACACACACACACACACACACACACACACACACCCATGCAGACAACAAGCTTTATATTGCCTTACAAGAGCTCTTACTCCCAAACAACAACCTACACCTTTTTCCATTTCAGTCACTAATTGCACAGCTTTTCTCGAACAGCAGCCATTTGAATGAGGACATCCTGGCATCGAGAGCCATTTGTTAGTCTAGCTCGCCCACACTGATGCCAATGTGTGTACCGCACCTATTATACAACTATATGAATAAATGACTGACTTCACTCGCTGGCATCCTGGATGGACAGAGTGAGACAAGCCAGAGCAGTGACACAAACGTAGAGTCAAACAACAGATGAATTTCACCAGTCACTCTTAATTGCCACAGTCATCTTCTGTGCTATAGAGCAGTCAAGGGAGGCATCAAGACATCATTGCTGACAGCTGCCATTAGCAGTATGCAGCCTCCCCAAAACAGCCATACACTCACTTTTTAAATGGTTTTAATCTGCCAGATTACCCTGCTGGTTTGCCAAATGACTCCCGTATCGAATGGTAAGTGAAGATTGCATTAGCTTAATAGCTGTTGCCCACCCGGGGTTTGTTTAAGGAAAAACGATGGATGGAATGTCTTTACAAGACTTCCATCTTGATGAGACTAAGCAATGCAAACAACAACAAACAGCCCTGCACATACAAAAATGGTTCTCTGTTTGAATTTCTAAAGCTCTATTCAAGCAGGGGTTTGTCTGTTTTTTGGTTGATGCTTTTACCGAAAATCACAGGACATCTGTAATGTTTAGGATCTAAATACACAAGATAAAAACATCTGTCACATGTGTCAAAACTTCAGCAGTGACTTGGCAAGGCTTGCAACAGATTCACAAAATATTTAGAGTTTTCTGCTCAGACTTGGACACTTTAATGTTTACAAGCAAATAAATGTCTGTACAAGAAGCTTTTATCATACACGTGTGCGCACACTTCACAAATCACTCTCTTTAACCGAACATTAATCTTAGGATGTCCAAACAGCCTTTTTGAGAACAACAAGATTTGCCTCACAACTCAGATTTTACAGTACATTGAATGTGTGAAGTGTGTGCTCTGGAAAGTGCAGTACTATAAAAACGTCTCTGTCCACACCTGGGGATACAGTGTGAAACAGTTACTGAACTCCACCAAAGTGGTTGTTTATCTCGGTTTACCTGCATCTCCACCTGCTTGTGTTTTGACCAAGATATGTGTGTGTGCGTGTGTAAAGTAGCTGGGCTATCTGGACGCATTCATGCAAGCGCTGGTCAAAGCTTTATCTGGATATGCAGGAGGAAGCTGTCTTTGGACCTGAGGCCACAAACAGCTCATGTTTTTTGATTCTTGTGAATATCTAACAGGAGAAGCCAGTAAAGAGTATTGATCTGGTGTTGCCCCCCCCGACCTCACCATTAGAACGCCAACGCACAATCTAGAGAAACGCACATATAAACACCAGTGACAAATATACAATGGATATTTTACACTGTGAAATTAAGCCATCCAAAATGATTTTTTACTTTATTTACTTGGACATGAATATTCAAACTATTGATAACTATAACTAACTATTATTTTGATTATGACTCACGTCGTTATGTCCGATGTTATTCTACAAGTTTAAAGGTAACTGCTGTTTGTCGATTGATTGAGTGAGACTTTATTCAAGTGTCCATGTAAACATAGTCATTATCAGTCTTTTGTTACCAGCTCCCCAGTTATTGGATGGATTGTTCATAGATTTCCACAAAAACCTTTTGTTCATCATCACATCATGATGTGTAAGTAATCAGACAACTCAAAATGGCAACAGCCAGCAGGTATGCTGGTACTGGTACCATCCCCAGGCCACACCCGCGACTGGTAAAGATCTCAAACTAATAAGCATATCTGTGAGTACGGCCTGGTTTTATCAGAGAGCATCTCCAGATGATTAACATTTGGAGCTGATCAGTCAGTGAAGTTCAACAAAAAAATTATCCAACACACATCTCTGCAAATAATAGGGCTGAGGACACAATCTTATTATGTATCATGTGACACGGGATGTCATGTAGAAGTCAGAAAATTAGTAAAAAAATAAAAGTTCAGGTCATCTCTGCATCCTATAGTACTTCACAGATCACCTGAAACTTTTATAAATCAAAAGAATACTTTATACAATGACATGATAGGAATTATATCTATATATATATCAGGACGTAAACATGAAGTCAGACAATGGCATAATGAAGTGCAGTTCTGCATTTAGATTAACCAGTCATTTGTCATCATAAGGTATAAATGTGATAGAAAGGTTAGTCCTGATTGAGGTATATATATACTGCACAAATGCAGGATACACATCCCTGCTCCGATATTTTATATTCAGCTGTTTTATTTCTGGTGTTTAATGTGCATCACAGCCTCGCTTTGCTATGGTGTGGCTGTCTGTTGTTGTTGTTAAGTCTTGTCACTGTGTCCCCTTGTCTCCCAGGACGAGAAGCTGGACGCCACGTCCAGGAGCCTGAGACTTGCTGCTCTTTCTTCCTCCATCAAAGGCCCCGGCACATTCCTCAGCAGCTCGCTGAAGTGTGACACACTGTGTGAGTACTTATGTATTGAAGCTGCTAAACCTGTGTTCTGACAGCTTGTCTACCAGGTGGTTTGATGGCAGTCATGAATTTGTGCATTGCTTGATCATGTGAAAATGAATTTTTATATGGTTTGTACTGGAGATGGTAATGAGCTGTGATCTGTACATAATAATACAAGATATATTTCACCATGATATGCACAACTCAACGTATTACACTTTCCATTGTGTGTGTGCGTCTGTGTCTGTGTCACTGTCACAGACTTGTAGTTCTTCACTAAGCTGCTGACAGATATTTGAGCAGTGTTCTAACAGTCCACTGATGATTTTGTCCCAACATATTGATGACTGTTTGATACCAGTGTTAACAGACAATACAGTTATCATACATATTCATGACGACTGTAGCAGTAACATTTAGAGGTTCTGCTTAACATTGAGGCAAAGATTTATAACAAGGAATGTTTTATTTAAGTCTGAGACTGGGTGATTGACACACTGGGGATGTAACGTTTTTTTCGGTCTTTTCTTTCGGCTTCCCTCCACCGTCTCTCTCTGCCGCAGCACCTCAAAAACGCCTGAGCAGTTCGGACTTGGACGACTCTGTAGTCAACGGGGCCAAACCACTCACAGATTAGCTCAACCCCGATCTATATCCCTTCGAACATGGACACACAGCGACGCACACAGCTGATTGTACCTGCCCAGTGCTCATCCAGAAAAAACTTGACTGTACTCGAAGGCCTCGCACTCAACACTAATCCTCCTCGACTACCTCAAGCAGGCAAACACTGAAGGTGCTCGAGAGCAGGGGAGTGATTTCAAACACACTTTAAAGGAGGTGATATGTTTGCACACTGTAAAAGAGGAACTACTATCAAGTGTTTTTATTTATAAGAGCCTGAAGGGAATTTATTTCAAGGGTTTCAACCAAAATCGTTTCACTGTTTTTTCCCATTTTAACAACATTTTAACTCAACAGCTATTTTAAATCTTGTAAACCAAACTGTGCTCCTCTTATTATGTGTTTATGCTAAATGATTTTGACACAGTTAAGGCCTTTGCACACATAACGCATATTTTTCTTAGGATTCATTTATTACTAATACTTTTTTACTTTTTTCGAAAGATTTCACATTTCAGTTTCTCTGAGGATTTGCTTCTCTCATTTAACCAATCAGAATCCATTTTGTTGATAGTGTCACACTTTGAAGCAACAACAACCTCCTCATTCTGAACATTTGTCGATTTCTTTAATATATTTGACTTGAGCCACTGCTTACAGTTATTTTTGTCTTTAAAAGGAGCTGTACAGTGGCCGTTCTAAACCTGCCTTTCTAGAATGCGCTGTTTGCTTGGTCTGTGGTGATGCTGGTTGCGGTTTTCTTAAGTAATTGAGTAATTGAGCTGCAGCGAGTAAAGACTGACTGCAGGACTCAGTCCACAGAACCCTGAAGCCACAGCTGCTGCACAAACAACTGTTTACCTGTTTATTCAAAGTTCAGTGAAGTTTGACTCAGAACCCTGAACTGGATAATCAGTTGTTTTGTTGACGTGAACGTGCTGTTGTCATGATCAACAACACAGTTCCACCCAATGCTGCTACAGGTCCTCTTTTTGTTCAAAGTCTATTAAAGTAGAATTTATCACGTGTGTCCAAATAGCACCATATTCGACACTGCCCTTTCTTTGGGCCTTAAGGACACACTTTCCAAGTGTAAAGGCGATGAGATGAACAGCCGCGAGATATGTGAGCCACAGACAGAGATTTCTGGAGTTAGACAGATATGAGGATGTAGCTGACTTGAAACCAAGATCAAGACACATGTGACCCAACTGGAAGAAAAAGAATGGACCAAACGTGCACAGCAGGGACAATTTACAAATAAACGTCCAATTAAAAAGAAAAAAACAAACAGCCCAGCATCAGCTTTTCTTCAAACTGTGCAATGGGCGTCCGATAATAATTCCAGCTGTGGTACAGTTTAAGCTCCTGATTCAGGTGAAATCAGCACCTGATCCTCATCGCTTGATATTGATCCCATCTTGGTTTTCCAGTGGTGAGTTTTTTCTCCATAATTCATTTTCTACATCACACCTCGCTGAATAATCTGAATAATTAGACACAATCTCAATATTATTTGCAGTTATTTGAGTCGCAGTTGATGTGCAAAGGCCTTAACTCTGCACAAACAGAAGTCTGGTGCCTTTTAAAGAATATGCAGTGTTTTTTAACGCTAAAATTCTGGGTTGTCTCTTACATGAAAATGTGACAAATCTTGTTTTTTTACCACATTTTTTAATGTATTGATGAGTTTTGTTACACGCAGTATATACACATGGATGTCTATTTTTTATGAAATGCAAAATAAGTATATGCACTATGAATAAATCCCCATGCAACTAACTGTCTGTTTATAAGCACACTTGATGTCCCCTCTATTTCAGACTGAAGTGTCTGCTTTGAAACAGCAGAGAAACTCCAGCTATTCCCACTGGTGCATCTTTTGCATTTTTTCTAAAATCCCTCATCAGAGAAAACAACCTTAAGCCACACCAGAGAGAAACGTCCTCTTTTAATTTGCTGCCTGACTTCAGTGGCGTAAACACAGCACCTGCTCTGTAAACATTTCTTTAACTTGAACATAATCTTGAGCCAAATGTTTCCAGACTTTGTTCAGCTCTTCAGACAGGCTGCACATTGTTAAAGTGACAAATCAAAAATCTTAACATCACAGACAGAACGTACAACTGAAGTAAATAACATTTGATGCTGCTGCCGTCATGCTTCAAATTTCAGAGAATAGTTGTGGCGGCCTGCACAGTTTGCAAGATCTCTGTGTGTTGTCGTCCTCAATCATTGATACAGATTTTAGTAAACTGTTATAAAACTACAAAAAACAGACAGACATGGAACTGATAACAGAATTGATGGCGTTTCACTATTTTACTTGGCTTGGTTGTGGGACAGACCATTCCTGTCTCTGTAGTCTGAGAGATAACGTGACATAAGGTCGTACCCCCCTCACCAAATAACGCAAGAGCCAATGAGTCGGAATGAAAGTGGCACAGTTCGCCCTTTTCCAAGTTAGTGTCTCATTTTGAAGCTGCTATAAAAAGTTGCACAATTGCTTTAATGCACTCATGCTTCTTATTGTACTTAAAATAGACATGTAACTTCCCAAATTAAAGAGGAAATATATTAAGCTGGAACTTTGATTGTCATGAGCAGCACAAATTCTCTTCTTTTTAAAAACATATTTTTGTGTGTCTTTGTACAGCAGCCTGTAAAATTCAAAGAGAAGAAGGAGAAACAAGCTAGGTACTCTTCTTCCCTCATAAAATAAAAAATATCAAAATATCAAAAAATAAAAGCTTACGAGAGTTTTGGCGTTTTTGCTCGTACTTCAGCTCAGCGCTCATCCTCTGAAGAGACAGCACTGTTATCTTTCCAACGTCCCTTTCAAAAAGGAGAGTCGTTTTAAAAGCAGACTTTTTTGTCAGACGCAGAAATTGTTGTCCAGGTGATTTGCTGTCCAGTCCGACAAAATGTGTCGGTGTTTTAATGAAACTGCAGCCGGAGGAAACAAAGCTCCACTAAGCTGAGCTGTGACAATGATTTAAGTCTTTGCTCACTCCCTGTTTCTCCTTTAAGAACTACATTAGTTCTAAGTTTGGTCGTCCGATGAGAATACTGAAGATCACAGATTGACTGTACTTCTTACGCATACTTAAGGTTTTATATATATTCTTTACCTGTAGCCAACGTTACAGGAGACTGTAAATGGAACTCTTAGGGGTGTTTCAACTTGGTGTCTCTTATTTCATACGTCAGACGAGAGCTGAGCGAAATTCAGCAATAAGATTTGCTCAGACGTAAATTTTCAGATCATGTTCTGGCACAAAGTTTTTGCTATTCCCCGCTCTCATTCATCATAGTTTTCATATATTCTCATTTGTGTAAATAAATCACATTTGGCAGGCTCAGTGTCTCACACACACACACACACACACACACACACACACACACACACACACACACACACACACACACACACACACACACACAGAGGGGGAGAGACAACCCTGGATTCCTAATGCTCTTCTTTATCCTGTAACTACGTCCCTAGGAAAATGTCTGCTTATCTAAGCTATATTAGGTTGCAAAACACATGCAAACTCATAGATCAGTCCTGCTGCTCCCAGCAGACTAGTTCCCCCATTTACATTCTGCCCCATCATTAGTCCAGCTTTCCTCCACTTTGTCAGCCTGAGAGATGGTAATGAATAAATTCAGAGCTTTCCACCGCTGCGTGTTTGTTTTCTAGCAAAGGAAAATACAAGCCTCTGTGCGGAGAGAAAAAAAAGAGGGGGTTTGTAATCTGCATTTACACAAGCACGAGAAACCTGACACACATCTGTCTGAGCCTGTCAGGATGAATTGCAGCATGACAGTCAAAGTTGTTAAAAATGTGTCAGTGGAGCTCAGATCGATACTCGAGGACTCAGAGTGAAGCTCTGTCCGTGCGGATGCAGAGAGGCTGAGGTCATTAGGAGGGTGATGCACGCTCGGAGCTGACAATCAACACAGAACATATTCAGACACGCAAACACCCTTTCACATGACACAAATACAAGTGTTAATACATGACTGACGTAGAGTCCCTGCAAATGTGAATGTATCACCTGCCCTCAGCTCAGATCATCTCTGCACTGTGTCAGTACTGGTGTTTGACTAATCAGCTTCATGATCAGCCTTTATACAGAACTTTTCTAATCCTATCCATCACTCAAAGCTTTAACCGTACAAGCTTCTATACACAACACTTCTTCCATCACACACCATTCACACTCGGTTATCGGGGGCAAGTTAAGGTTCAGTGTCTTGCTCAAGGACACTTCAGTTCAGAGTGTAGGAGCTGCTCTACCTCCTGAGGGACACAATAGAGAGTTGGTTGCGCGCGTCGTATTTCTGCCTCCATGTCACTGCAACGGAAGGTAGTGCAGCTAAGTCTGTGGTGTGTTCAATGGATTATTCATCATAACAACATGCTTGAAGGATGAGCTTGGCATAAAAGATGTTCAACAAAAGGTTGATGTCCTTCGTGTTTCTGAAGCTGTCGGCCACATCATCTTCAGCAGATGGTGTTTGCTTAGTTTTCATGGACTTGCTCCAGTTGTTATCCAGTGACCTAAGTATGAGAACAGGTAATTCACTGCTTTCAGAAAGTATTCAGGTGCCCTCACTTTTTTTTACATTTTGTTACGTTGCAACCTTGAGCAAAGAATTTTTTTTTCTTTATCAGAACTGATAAAGACTCTTTGTTATGACACTTCCCCTATTTCTCTAGTTCGTTTTTGCATCTGTATTCCTACACCTGAAGTCTACATGTGGTAAATTCAACTCATTGATGTGAATTGAAAAGTATTGTGTCTATTCACACATAGACCCAGAACTTGGTGGAGGGACCTCAAATCCCACCTGGCCTGGGAACGTCTCTGGATCCCCCAGGAAGAGCTGGAAAGCGTGGCTATAGATAGAAGGATGGATGGGTGGGTGGGTGGATGGATGGATGGATGGATGGTCTATATTCGTTCTCACAGTTGACAATATCTACTCCAGCACAAAAACCAAGTCATGAGGTGAAAGACAGCGTCTGCAGAATTAATATATAAATCATAAAGACAGATTGAAAGTTAGAAACCAAACATGGACTCTATCCCAGGCTTCTCATGCCGTGATTGTACCGTATGACCCGTGTTATTTTCCATTTAGATCTGAGGTTATGAAAGACATTTATTCTGTAACATTGCGGTGGGCCCATGTGAAAGGGTGAAAGTTATTCTTGTTTGCCAAAGAACTGTACTTGTGATGAGAACCAGTTACAGTGTGTGCATGGCTGTCGTTGTGGCTGCTCTTTGGATATTCTTGATTTAAATTCTGATTCTGTGGTTAGCCTTTTTTTCCCCTGAACCATTATTAAAATGTGCACAGTTGTGTTGTTAAGCATATGGAATAACTGCACTTCTTTTTATTCTGCTCTTCGATGTGTGTGTTATGAAGTGTAGCTGCGTGGGCGCTGTCCAGTGCTGAAAGATGTTTATTAACATTTCCTTTTGGTTACTATAGCTTGCTGAATATTCAATATACATATCTGAATCTATATCAAATGTTCTGAGTGCAATATGTGCTTTCATAGGGAAAACTGGAACTTGTTTGACTCTTTTCTTAGCCCCTCCATGTGTTGGTCCAGCTGGCACCGGACACGACTTTCATAATTCTTAAATGGAAGATTTGGAACGACAGGGACTCATCCTAGAACTAGACTCTGCTGAAATGGCCAAAGAGGAGAAGGGCCTTGGTAGAATCGGATGGTCACTGTGGCTGAGCTCTAGAGATCCTGGTGATTATGGCCAGATGGAAATTTCTACTCAGTGAAAGACTCATGAAAACACCTGAAGGATTCTGAGACTGTGAGAAACTTGATCCTCTGGTCTGATGAAACCAGATTCGATTCAGTTCTACGGGTCATGTTTGGATAAAACCAGGACTCTCTCTTCACCTGTCTTATAACAAAGCACAGTGACATCCTGATTGAAAAACCTCATCCAGGGCCCTCAGGACCTATACTGAGCTAAAGGTTCAATGACTCTAAGTACAGGACAAGGCTGAGTGATGCTCCCAGAGCCCCGACTCAAACCTAATCGAACATCTCTAAGGAGAAAATGGCTGTTCGCTGACCGTCCAACCTGACAGAGCTGGAGAGGATCTGCAGAGAGGGACGGCAGAAAATCCCTAAATCCAGGTATGTGAAGCTTGTCGTGTTTTACCCAAGAAGACTTGAGGGTTTTGTGGGGTATAAACTACCTCCACCAACAAGGTTGTGTGTGTGTTTACCCCTGTCCGTTTGTCTGTTGGTGATTTGTTTGTTTCTTTGTTTTTAAACAGGATTACACAATAACAACTGAGCGGATTTCCACCCAACTTAGAAGGATGCGACATGACCCAGGTAAGAACTCATTAAATAAGATCGGGTGTTTTAAAGCATGTCCATTGATTTCTCAGAGAATAATTCAAAAACATATTTAGGGGACTGATATTTATGAATGTGTGATATCTGTGCAAAAATCTGGATCTAGTGAATTTAAATGTATTTTCACTAAAGGATGTTGGACCTTGGCAGAGGTTTCTAGTTGTAGATTGAATTGTGTGTATTAGTTTTAAGAATTTCAGTAGAAAGTTTCGTTTTATGTTGATTTAAGTCTGCAACATAACATGTGAGGGGGTCTGGATACTCTCTGAAACCACAGTAGATGGGAGCGGTTGTTACTCCTCTCTGTGTCTCTGTTGTATTCAGGTATATTCAGGTCAGTGTTTAGCTCGAGGGCACAATGGTAGAACTTCTAATTTTAAAAGCACTGTCACAGTGGAGACACTTGAGACTTTTATGACATAGTAAAAGCACCTGAACGGGCACAGTCGGTCACACACTGCACACACACACTCTCTCAGAAACACTGTGATTTCTAAAGATAAGGCTCATTGAATATTACCCCAGTAAAACGACTATTAGTAAACACAGCAACCCCTTAGTGTTGCTGGTGCTTCTCACAGCCAATCAAACAGGGATGGGGTGTTTGCCACCGCTGCTCGCTGCTGTTATACTGCTGCTGTAAGCCTCTGCAGCCGTCACGAGGCTGATTCCCATTAGAACAAACCTATTTGGCTTGCATTACAAACCCATTCAATCAAGCAACCGTGCTCTGCTTTTTCGTTTAAGCCCGCAGGCTGAGAGTGTATCCAGCTGCTGTGGTTCAATAAGTGAATGGGTTATTGCAGCGGAGTCTCCGTATCAACCTCATTTTCTCCTGGGATTAGAGTTAAGATAAAAAAATAGTTTTTTTGTGCGATTGTTGTGCAACAATTTGTATTTATAACCCACTTTACAACGCGATGAAGTGCAGCACACTGTTTTCTCATGGAATATGCAATAGTCACGGCTAAGCGGGGAGATTTCCATGTTTGATGGCAGACAGGTGTGGAGGAGCAGCCAGGATGACCTCTCCTGG